GCACCCACAGTCAGCAATGCATCAGTGGCAGTGCTGGGTCTCAAACATGGGTTTTGATATACATCCTTTCCCCTTGTCATCTAGCTTTTAATATTCTATAGAGGAAGTCATTCCAACTCGTAGCTGGACCTAGCCAGGTCTGCAATCACCTCTGCACTCGGCTTTTCAATTCCATGCACCAAGAAATCCTGTCCCTGTGGATTTTCTTTTTGATTTAGCCACTTAAGTTAGGTTTCTGTGTCTTGGAACCAAAATAATCTAACAGTGCTTCTTTTCCACATTCCTGATGCCTCACACTGGTTTCCAGAGTAGAACATCCATCCTTCCATATACTTACACACATCATGCTAATATTTTAAGGCCATCCTTCATGAACTTTTCCCAGTATTGCACACACAATCTTGACAGATCAGCTTCTTACTAGTCAACACTTTCCTGTTCTATACTTTTGTGCCTTGTGCATAAATCATCTTCCAATCTAGGCCAGAAGCTCATTCAGGAGGCATCTTTTTGTTCTGCCACCACACCTGCAAGAGTACTGGGTGCATCGAGCACCTGACCACTCTGTTAAAGTTTAGTTCTAAGTTAAAGTTCTCCATACCACTCCAGCTTCAGTTCTAGAGAGACCTGGCCCCAAACCAAGCACTGGTCCCTTCACTATGATGGGCCTATTGCATATTATATTACATTTGCTTTTGCAGGCAAAAGATCTCAGAATCATTTGACTTTTATTACTTTACCTGGTACAATTCTTCAGGAATGGAAGATTTTATTTCCTTTGTTCTCTGGTACACTTTTAGGAAATATCAGACTGCTACAGGTATGCAATAAAGCAAAAACTTCCCTTATTACTTTTTCTATGTTATGCGTCATCAGAAAGTCTTTGCTAATATCAGGGCAAAACAGTTCCTTCTCATTGCACCAAGAATATTAGGGGGAAAAATGTCAAAAAGCCAATTTAAATAATTCAATTCTTTCCCAGATGAAGAAAGAAGCATGTAATTCTGTTGGAAGGAAATCTGTTTTAAGTCACTTTGTTCTCTCAGAAGGTTAGAATATTTTATTCTTTAAATGCAAATCATATTTTGCATTGACAAAGCAAACCTTAAGAAGTTTGAAAAGTGGAGAAAATCAAGTGCTTCAAAGTCTATTTGAATGGGTGAATCACTATTATTGATTTCAAGTACAGTCCACACATAAACATAGTTAATCAGACTCAGGTCCTCCGTGTTATGAAAAGCGTGACTTTTGATTGATAGGCAAATAAAGTGAAATAAGACAAATGAATCAAGATGGAATCTGTATTGCTAACAGTGACTCAGTGTTAGCCATAACTTCAAGAAAGAGACAAGCTGAATCACATGAAAATGAGTAGGCTGATTATATCACACCTTTGGCCTCGTCACAATCCTCCTGAATGAGCCCGGAGTGGTTATGGAAACATGATTTCCGGATTGCCCCTTTTTATTGTCTTATAAATATACAAAAACACACATATACACACCTACATATGCACACAGAGATTCAGTTTAGACTTTGCAGTCCAGGCATTATGAGTGATTCCTGTCTAATTAAGAAACAATCCCACCAATTTAAATATTACACAGGATTGTTTACAGTGCCTGCTCTTCCATTCCCTCAGTAACATCTATAAGGAGCTAGTTCACACGAGGTAGCCGCCCATCACCGTTACTACATAATTTAAAAACAGATGGTGTCGCTTTGCTATGCCAACTTCTAGGTATTCACTCTACCACTCTGACAAAGAAGAAAAAGAATTTTTAGAGGCAAAGGACTGTTGTCATAACTCAGAAACGGTCTGGTGAGGAAATTTTTGTTTTGGGCATAAATTATCATCCCTGCCATGTTATATTTAGATTCACAGTAATGCAAACAAAATATACCTATAAATGATCAAATGTGTTTTGCAAGTAGTCTGTTTAAAATCTCCTCTTTTAATTAGGAAGACTGTTGGAATGCTCAGGGACTCTTTTTCCCAGTAAAAGTGAAACCCAACTAATTAACTATCAAAATTATCCAAACAATGGCATCTTTTTACGCCGCAGATCTTTCCCAATTGTTCTTCTGGGATAGACTACTTTTTTTTGGTTCAGCTGGAACTACACAAAAATCCAGACAGCACTCTGGTGCTCAAATTTACCCTCTAACACCCCATGTCTCCTCTAATCTTTGTGAGGACAAAATCTATGCATTCATTATCATGTTGTCTGTATGATGAGTACCCCAAAGAAGAGGGCAGGTCTCTCTCTGCAGGCAGTGGAATTCACCTGGTGTTAACTGTCAGGGTGTTGGGGTTCTAGCTTTATCCTAGAATATTTCTAGTCAGTAACTCCCACTGAAAACAAGGCCTTGGTATCAATGCACGTCTCCACTCTCACTTTGATCTCTGCAGTGCATGAGCTAAGTTACACAACTTCTGATTCTCAGTTGTCTCTTGGTAATTCATGCACTGTGCTATAAGGTAATGAGGAAATATGGTGGGGAATACAGGGAACTACCTGTATAATCTCAATCTTTCAGTTACTCTAAAATGGTTCTTTCAAAAAGCCTACTTCTTAACTAACTCTCAGGGTAGTGGCTTGCACGTGGTAGATACCTGAAAAACGGTAGCTGGCATGGTGCAGATTACCTGGTTTCCTGAGGCACAGTATACTCTGTACAACAGAACCACACCTCCCCATCTGAGCCAGTCCTCCCCCCGCCCCTCTCCTCTACATCACTCCTTTATCTACATCATTTTCTCTCTGGCCTTTTCTATTTCACCCATTTCTACTCTATTACAAGCTTAGGTTCAGTTTGCAAGTAGCTTAAATTCCTCAAAGACTAATTTTAGCTCATTAATCCTATTTGTTGGCTTTAGGTTTTACTACAATGATTACACAATCTTCTTACTTTCAATGATCACTCATTTTTAAAAAAAAAAATCTGAGTTTTAAGCTATTTGGAAGAAAAAGAACAAAAGATTCTTTTCCAGACTAATAGAAAAGCTTATTTTTGCTTACAGTAAGTGGATATATATTTAGCCCTGAGGTAGCTTTTCCAGCATACACATTTAGCAATAGTTTGCTGCAATAACTAAAAATAGTTTGATCCAATGCTAGTGTTATAGGTCTGTCCTGGAGTTTCTCTGATGTTGAGGTCATGTGTAATAGAGCCAATTCACTCCTCAAACCACAGTTTTGAATGCACCCAGGTAAAACACAGTCAGATCACAAAGCCATGTCTCGTGGTGATCTTTGTCATGTGGCTACAGGTTCTGTTTGGAAGAACTGGGTCCCTGTAGAATTTTTTTTTTTCTTCTTCTTCTTCTTCTCCTCCAGTCTGGTGCAGCACCTAGGCATTTATTTAAAAGGAAGAGCTATATAGAGCCTTCGACTTGCAAATAGGTTATTTTTTTTTCTTTAAGTCAAAAGTTTTTCTTCTCAAAGACAGTACAGCTCTGATTGGTGCTTTAATTAACTGGACAAATTCTGGAGATGGAATTTCTTATGCAATAAAGATGCAATCATTACAATAATTCCAAACTAAAATTTGAAATTCCATGCCCTGAGGACCCAAATCTAGACTTCAAAAAAAAAAAAAAAATTCAAGAAACTTTTACTGCTTGGACTATTGGGCCACTATGATGGGGTGGGCTGGGAGGAGGGCTGAGGCGTGGGTGTGCAGTCCACCTGCTGTCTAGCATACAGGAAGTGAGTACTGCTCTTAATAAAACCTATACCCAATCTCCTGAAAGCTGAAATATACCGACAGCGCTAGGCGAAGTGCGTGCGTGTGTGTATGTGTGTGTGTATGTGTGAGTGTGGAAAACAAACAGAGAAATCTGTGCTAACTCAAGATAAGAACGTAAAATAAATACAGAAAAAAAATCTAACACTTTACTACGGCAACATATAATTCAGCCTTTCATGGCAGCCGCGGGAAAATCTACTATTTTAAGAAACTAATCTCACAGCGTTGGTGTGTAAAAGCTGGCACCTAGCCTCGCCCCTCCGGGAGGCTGAGGACTTCTCTGATACTTCAAGCACGGTGGAGTCATTTCCTGGGAGGGAATTGACTCTCCATTCCTGCCTTCCACTGGGCTCTGGGCTCTGGACTGGTGTTCCGCCTGTCCAGGCCCCTCGGTCACCACCCCTCCTCTCCTTTCTCTGGCAGAAGAGCAGATGGAAACAGGCGCCTTCACCCCACCCCACCCCCCTACATCAAAGGCAGCCAGCTCTCAGCCACCTTCGTCTTGCCCCAGCCTCAGACACAAAAAGCTTTTGATGCCTGTAATTGCGAGGCTTTTTGAGGCTGCATTTGGTCAAGCCCGCAGTAGCCGGGCTCCGAGGGCTTCTGCACGCCGGAAGGTGGCGGCGAGGTCACCTTGGGAAGGGAAGAGGGTCAGAGAGAGGGCGATAGAGGTGGTGACCCGGGCCGAGGGAGGCCAGGGCGCGCCTCGGATCTGGGGTCAATGAGGATGGGAAGGAGGATCGCAGAGAAAGGCGGCCAAGGGGAGCAAAGCAACGCCTCAGGGCCCAGAGGCGACCTCAAGGGTGATCAGCTGATGGGGCGGGACGCCCTTAGCGAAGGCGCAGATTCCCGGCGCTAGGCTCCCGCACGCCCCACCTGCCGGTCCCCGCCCGCCACGCACGCCCGAGAGGGCGGGCCCGAGCTGAGCGCCGCCGCGCCGCCGCCCGAGAGCGCAGGGAGCTCGGCGCGCTCAAGGCCTCTCCGAGCGCCTCTGGTTGCAGCCTCGTCCCCAACTCCGGGTCATAAAGCGGGACCCGCGCTCGCCCTGGCCCGAGAGGCCTCGAGGCGAGGCCTGCACCCCGGCCGCTCGCGGGTCCCAGGGGCTCCCGGCGCGCCCCGGGCGTGTCAGGCGGGGCCCCTTGGGCAGCACAGCCCCATCCCCAGGGCGCGGTCTGCACCAGCTCCCATTGTTCGCCCCGCCCTCCGGCGGCGTCCCGGCTGGGCTCCCCGGGCCCGGGCGCACCTACCTTCTGCTGCCTCCGGGCCATGTCGGTGGGCTGCTTGGCGTTGAAGGGATAGGCAATGCAGCGCATCACGAACACATAGAGCTGCAGCCGCTTCTTCCTCTCCTCTTCCTCCTTCTGCAGCCGCTCCAACTCTTCCTTCTCCTTCTCGCTCACTACCGACGGGCTGGGGCTGGAGGGCCGCCCGCTGCCGCCCCGGCTACCGGGCTGTAGCCCCCCGGCCCCGCCGCCGCTGCTCGCACCGCTTCCCCCGCCGCCGCCGGCGCCCACCCCGGTCCCAGCGCCGGCGACGCCGCTGCCCAGCCCCGCGCCGCCGGCCGGGCCCTCGCTGGTGCGGCTGGGGGACAGGCGCGCGCCGGACGCGGCCGAGCCTAGCACCTCCTTGCCGCTTTCCTCCTCCACGATCTCATCTGACTCCTCTTCGCTGGACGAAGGGTCCAGCATGGTGGCGCCTGGGGAGGGTGGGGGTCCCTGGAGCCCCCGGCTTGGGGTGCCAAAGGTGGGGGTCGCTGGAGGCACCCAGGAGTCGGTCCTCGCGGGTGGACGCTGCTCCCCGGAGCTGGGAGCGCGCGCAGCTGCTCAGCCTGGGCCGCCGCGACTGCTTTCTCCGCCCAGAGATCCCGAGCTGGGTGCACACCCGGAGCGCGAGGGAGGTAGAGAAGGAAGAGGCGCGTCTGTGGACCAAGGTGGACAAGGACGAGATTCAATGGCGAGCCCGGAGCCCGAAGCCCGATGCCATCTGCAGCCGCTGAAGAAGGCGCCTCCAGAAACGATGCCGAGTGTTGCAAGCTGTCGGTGCAGCCGAGAGCAGAAGAGGCATCTTGCCGATTGGGGAGGGAGCGGCGCTTACGTGTTTGTTGGCTTAACTCTCCCGTGTCCGCGGCGGAAGGGGCGGCTGCAAGGGCTGGAGGCGGGAGGGCGCCGTGCGTCCCCGAGCGCCAAGCCTCCACACTTCCGACCCTGAGGTCTGCCCAACCTCCCTTCCTCCTCTCGTTGGGAGTAATTTCCTACTTGATCCCAGCTTTCATTGCCTCGAGTTCCTTCTCGGGGACTAAAAACTTCTTGGGGGAAGGGAAAATAGAGAAACCAAAGGCAACTTCTCGCCTGCTGAGAACAGGCAATCTGGAGACATTAGGTCAAGCGGGCTCATTCAGCGGAAGTGGGGCAGTCCCAAGTGGGAAAGAAAGGGTCCATCTCTTGGTTAATGCTTCAGCACGGGGCGTGGGGGCTGGAACTTCAGTTCCCATAAAGTGCGCCTGGCGCGCCCACTCCAGTCACAATGCAAGTGAACCGAAGTTTGGGTGTCTCGGTTTATGGGCCGTGCAGCTCGGCTGTTTAAGTGGAACCCTGCTCTTGCCTACCTCCCTGCACCAAGATGAACACTTCAGTTCTCCAGAACCACAAGGACTTATTTTCTGTGAAGGTGAGGTTACCACAGTAGCAGGGATTCACGTTGCTCAGCTTTTTATCCATTCTGGCTCGCAGGAGAATATGAATGGAGACGTGGGGACCCCCCACACACACTCAGAGACACCCTCAAGAACCCAGCAGACTCAGCATTTAATGCGTTGACTTGGTGGCACTGTCCCTACACCTGTTCGTGGAGTGATCTATTAATACAGAGCAGCAGATGGTGCCTTAGGTCCCGCTATCTTCTGGTTTAGGCCAAAAAAACCCAAACCGTAGCGAGGAGCTGGCCAGAGTGCTGAATCTATTCGTCCGCCTGCAGAGGACAACGCACCGCAAACTGCCTTTGAACCTTGGACTATTTAGAGCCTTCGCTCGGCACGCCCCTGCCCCCATCTTCTGTATTTGTGTTTTAAAGTTTACATCACAACGGTCTTCATGTATTTTCCACTTCGCCTTGAGTTTTTCCGTAAGCTTTGACAGCCAAAAGGAAGCTTTTTGGCTAATGTGGCTGGGACTGAAAGGAAACTCAATGCCTAGTTTCAAAATTACTGCAAAAATTCAGTTCAATGTTTTAATTAAGTAATATATGGATTACCACTGCCTCACTTCAAGGACACAACTTTTATGGTTATCACAATTTCATATCATTCTAAAATTGTTAAAACTGGGCAATATGGAAATTGCTACAATTTAGCAGTCCTTACTTGGTAATTATCATAAAGAGGTAAAAAATATTTTTAAAATGTTTTACTGGTTTCTCTGGAACAGAAAATATAGTAGGCCAAACAACCGTATTTATTAAGTATTTTTTTAAAAAAAGGAATACTGCTTTAGGTGCTTGAGGCATGTGGAAGTTTTAGAAGGCATGCTCTTAAACAGCCTATAATCTCCTTTGGGAGAGACAACATAACATGGAAAAGTTTGAGAACATTGATTTCAAGTCACCATATCAATAGCTCTAGGCTATTTAACTGCAAAAGCTCTCATAAATGAAACAAGTTAGCATGGGAGAGAGTCATGCTTCTTAAAAAAGAGAGTGACACTTTAGGAGGCTGAGACAAGAAGACTGAAAATTCAGGTTCAAAATGGGCAACTTAGGGGCCTAGCTAGACCCTTTCTCAAAGTAAGAAAGGGCAAGGATGTAACTCAGTGCAAAGGCCCTGGGCTCAATCTCCAGTGTCAGAAAAAGGAAGAGGAGGCAGTGGAGCTGAAGAAGAGGAAGATGAAGGAGGAGGGTGGAGAAAGAAGTGAAGAAGGTGGTGGAGGAGAGAAGAGGAGGGGGAGAAAAATCAAATTTTAAAGGAATATACCGTGTGAGAGAGCAGACAGTACAAGAGCAGGCAGTGACCTGCATAGTAGTAGTAACAGGGCAGAGGACTAAGTGAAGTCCAGAACTTTGTAAGGATAGGAAATGGACAAGTGTGTGTAAGTTGAGGAGGAGAGAAAGAGCTGAATTTAAAATTCTTTTGACCATTATTTAGGAGGAGCGGAACCTAGTTAGCTAGGGATACTTACTGATTAAATAGCTCTTCCTTAAGCAAATTTAGACATTTAAATAACATAACATCAGAAGTTGGTGACAAAACAACCATGAATTCTGTCTGCAGAATTATTTGGAATTTCTTCAGTGCTTAAATTATGTTTTTGTTTAGCTGTGTATTTATTTTTACAAATTCTTTTTAGTGACAGTTTTTCTCAATCATAGTTATTAATGCAGAAACTCCACACCTAATTTTTGTTAATCATGTAAACCTACAATTTGGCTGTGATATATAACTTCATTTAGATATATCTAACAATCTTTTCAACTCCCTCAAGAATATTCAGATACTTAAACAGATTTTACTAGAAATACTTCTATAAACGTTTTTAAATGTCATGCACTCTCTCTTTTTAAGTACACACCTTTTATTATGGTTCTTATTTTAAGCAAAAATCAGTTCAGTGTCCTTGGAGCTATTGTTGAAGGCCAGATCTCCTTGGGTAACTCAACTAAAAGTCATTGCTTCTCTGAGGTGCACTCTGCAGAACGAGACAGAAGATGACCCCCACAATACATCCAGAGGCTCCTCATTTTTGCTGGCTGCTTGCTAACCTTTTTAACATAAAAAAGTACAATTCTACCACAGATTCCATTACACTTATTTATTTATGTCCTCCAACAAGCTGTTCCACACCCTTGCACATGAGCTCCCATGAGCAGTTTGACTTTGTAGAAAACATGGACAGCCTCAAGGTGATGAAATAATTTTCAATGAGCCATATGGAGGTTATGTCATAAAAGTAAAGGTTCTAATACAGCGTTTGGTAATCCCACGCAAAATATAAAGTCCAGAGGAAATTGAAATGACCAAGACACTGAACCAGAGGTTTCTCATATAAACCTGAATAATCTCCATTCTCTGAGCTGTTGGCTATGATGTATAAAAAGCCACAAGTTTGAGGAAATAGCTGACTTCTTGGGATTTATGTCACTCATAAAACATGGTTCATACAAATCTGGATTTAATGTCTATTTTGATGTGGGTTTGTTACTAGAAAAGTTTAGCTGATAAATTTTTTAGAAATTTGTCTCATTTATTGAGACACAGTGTTATCATATAGTCAATATATTCTAAAATTTTTAAATTATAAGAATAGCTCATTAGATTTAAAGATGGATTAATTTGAATTTTCTGGGATGCCTCAGGTCAAATTAAATGCTTCAATTCAAGCAGTTCTGCCTGTGCTACCTAACAGCAGAGTTACCCTCAACAAATTATGTAATGACTCAGAGCCAGTGTTCTTACCTGTAAAAGGGAAATACTAGTACTCACTTCCTTTGGAATGACAAAAGAATTAAATTTCAAGATATATAGAAAGTAATGTTCAACAGATTTTAACTTTAAACATGTTTTTTTTTTAAGGGATGGAAGAGTGATTTTCAGCAGATGAGTAGAAATTTGATATAAGTAATTAGAAGGAAAAAGCAAGCAGCTACTAAAGTAATCAAGATATAACAGATTCTTAATAAAAGAAGATCAAATCAACTTTCAGGGTCTTAGAGAATGATCTATTTTGTTTTAGAAACCTTTTCATCATTAATTTTAATGAAGTGATGCTTGCTAAAGTGAAACAAAGGAGTTAGGATGGAATTGAGGCATAATTGAGGCATAATTGTGGGACAAAACTAATCAAATCAAGCCACAGAAAAGCATTTTTATGCCAGTCAACAAGACACTTTTTGGAATGATAATGATATTACTTGTAAGATTTGGTCTTGGAAAGTCAGTGTTACTACTTAAGATGAAAAGAAAAATAGAACAACCCACTTTACAAGTAATGTTTAACTTGAATTCTGAAAATGACTATTCACAAGGGTACTGATTGCTTGGGTAGTTTCTTTTAACTGAAGTGGGAGTTAGACATGGCTTGGATTGGAACACTGTTTGTTTCGGTATTTACCTGGACAAGATGGCAGATTCTATCATTTGCCATTGACTCCGGGACATGATGACATGCCAAGTGTAATAGGAACTCACAGGATGTCAGAAAGGTCAGCTACCCATTTGACCCAACTTGCCAATTGTTTTTCTTGATCAATACTCATAATACTATATCTCAGCCAAAAGAATTTTCTATGTTTTCTGAGCTATATTTCATTGTTTTTATAAACTACAGTGGCTTCACAATGGGCAGCATTTCTGGAGGCTGTAAATCCGATTCAAATCAGGGCATTTTTATATTAACAAGTTTCAATTTCAATTATTTAATGTTGGAGGATCCCTTAATTTGGGCTGATCAGTTTAGGTTTTTGGTAAAAAAAAATTGGGTAAAAAGAGAAGGTTGAAAGAAGCTTATCGAATGAAAGAAAAATAGTTTACACATCTAAGAACCGTTCTTTACCATGGAGTAAATATTACTACTATGTTGGGGCCATTAGGGATAAGCATCTGGAGAAAAATGTTATAAATTAGCTCTAAATTAGTTACTGACATGCCAACCCAAACTAGTAGAAGAGAAGTCCCTTGACTAACACTTAGCTCTGTTCATAAGTGTCTTTCCTCTTCTTTTTTAGAATGATACTAACTCCTCTTCTGCATTGGAGTCATTATCCCAGTCTGTTTCTCTTTTCTATTGTGTTTCTCTTTTCTCTTACATCAATGATAACTTTCAGCCCTGATCTGAATGAAAAGAGTGTTTAAGACGTTAACGTGCTGTCATTTTGCACTCAGAATTTATCTTGAAAATGGAGTCCTCTGGAAAATCTTTGGTTTGCATGATGACAAGAGTTTGGAATACTTCAAGCATGGCTGTATGAGTATACAAATGTTATTTTCCCATTGTCCTTCATCTTGTGTAAGTTTGGAGAAAAATGTACAGAGCAATAAATATAAAAATCGCAATGCCATTATGATGACAACTGGGATAGGTTTCCATATTCTCCCAGGACAGAACTCTGATGATGTTACAATATTTATTCAAGGCATTTTAGGTCTTCTATTTAG